TATACGTTACTCGTATACTTGAGTTTCAGATGACTTAAACTCAACGGAAACAGAGTGCGGTTTTTAGTGCGTTTCCGTAGTTTACGGTAAAACGGAAACATGACATTACGACACGTTTACGTCAACTTATACAAATGAATAAGCAACGGAAACGTTAACTTATCCTTACGATTCCATCAGCTTTCCGTTGACTGAAATTGAGGATTTCGCACTGTGTTACCAGCCCTCACTTTGATCCACCCACATGTTGTTTTGGGTTTTATATGTGAGTTAGTCGTGCCTTGACTTAGATCAGCCTAGAGGTTGTTTCAGGGTTCAAGCTGTGGGTTAGGCGTTTCCTGACTTAGATCAGCCCAGCTGAGGTTGTTTCAGGGTTGCATCTGTGAGTTAGCCGTGCCTTGGCTTAGATTATCACAATGGTTGTTTCAAATTTAGCATGTGTCACGCGGTCATCTTTCAACCAATGAAAGCGTTCTTTATATAGGAAAATTTCGTATCTATTAAACAACTCGCAATAATCATCCCTTTCCGTGGCCTTAGATTTTCTGGACAACGAACGACATTAAAGAGCCGTATAATGGTGTTGATCTAAGCTGTGGTCTGTTAAGTTTGGAGTCCCCAGGTTCGTCAATCTGCAGCACAATTAAATCTCTCAGAGCATACATATCATTGCAAGTCGTTTAATTATTGATCCTTGTAAACCTTACATATACTAACAGGCCTAGATATTCTCCAGAGTATTACGTTAACTACAAAGATCATTTTCTTTTTTGCTATTGTTGCATGTATTTCTTGGCAAAAATTATGCATTGACATGGTCACTTACGAAAATCTATATATATTAGCCATATTTGTCAAATGCGTTGTGAGGGGAAGTAGTAGGAATATTCGTCCAAAGCCAAAGGCCTCTTTTCATTGGCTGGGTTGGTCGGTGACCTCCATCTCCTCGGTCAGCACCCTTCATCTTGTAAACTTTTTCCCTGCTGCTTTTTTCTGCTGTACGATAAGGAAAATATTTGTTTATTATCAACGGGCAGTTATGAAACAACCTCTGTGCTCCATGATTAGAGCATGGCTAATTCACAGATCGACAGATCGAATTAGGATTTATCGTCATAGGGCAATTTATGGAGAGAGGAAAACCTTCGAGCATAACCTTCGAATGAAAGAACGTACCAATGTATTTTGATTTACATGTATCAGGATTCGTGCTGAGGTAACCACTTAAAATTCAAGGACTATATTCAAGGAGTATATACAAGGACCCAAAAATGAATTTTCAAGGAGTATGTTCAGCTAACTATGCCAAGGTTTTACACGGTGGTTGCACATGGTCGACTTTTAGATTTTCAATCTTTCTGACTAGATCTATTTCAGAACCATGCAAGTAATAATCAAAGCAAAAATTCTAGGAATTTTTAAGGAGTTTCGCTAATTAAAATCGTAAAATTCAAGAGCTTTTCAAGTGCACTTGAAAACGTGAATTAAAGTAATTAAATTCAAGGAGTTTTTAAGGAGTTTAAGGAGTAGAACGAACCCTGTGTAATGCTAGTAAAAGGAATCAAACTTGCGACACCAAGCTCAAGAGACATGTGCACTACTACTACACAACCCTTTCTTTCTCTCTATACTCATTCTGGTAAGTGCTTAAGGAAATCCCAAATTGCTTGTCTTTTAAATTTTCAATGCTACAATTCTGCTCTATGTTATCTTCACAAGGATTGTTTTTAACTCCAATATATGTCTTTTACACGTCATGTGGGCACGGGTGGACGAAGGGTGGATAGCGCTATCCGACGTATACACGTATTACTTATTTCAGAAAGAAAAGCCGTTATGATCATCGCAAAGGCGATAGGCGATAGCTCATTCCGACCTGGAAATAATTTCATCGAATACAAAGAGCATTGATCAGGCTCAACGCTAAGGTCCATGTTCTTGACAAGAATAAGAAGCACAAACACAAGTCATTACGGCTATGCTTGGGTCTTGGAATGACTTTGCTATCCTATTGGTTTTTTCCTTTCTCCAATGCCTATCGCCTTCGGCGATGAAAAAGTCTTTTTGAAAGGTGTAAAGGATTTATCCATCAAATAGCGCTATCTGTCCTTCACTGATACGACCGTGACTCTTACCCTTGTTATCGTGGTTCTTCACACCAAGGACAGATTGTAGACAAAGGATGACCATCAGGAAAACAAGCACAGACATCCACTTCATGTTTTATTTCTTCTTGTACGTCTTCTAAACTGTTTCCAGGTCTCAAATGTTCTCTAGACTAATTTTAAGCAAGCATTTTTCAATATTTATCTTAATAAAAGACAATGCGATTTCGGGTCTTCAATTTCGAAAGTCAGGGTTAATTCAATCGTTAAAATTAATTAAAAAAATAAAAACAATAAAGATAAAAAATGAGCAAGGTAAAGCAAGCTTTTTTTTCAATATTTATCCTAGTGAACGACAATACAATTTTGAGTCTTTACAATTTACAAAGTTAGAAGTAATTCAAAATTAATAAAAATAGATAAATAGATAAAAACATGGAAGCAATAAAACAAAACAGGTGGATTAATGCGTTTAAATTGCCAACTGTGTAGACTTTTAAAGCATCTAAATTCTAATTATTTTCTTATTACTTCTCACCACGGATTATTCCAGATGGTTTCAAGGTTCAATGTGTGAGTTAACCCATCATATGATTCAATGATTTCTGTCCTTCGAACTTCACTTTGTGTAGGTTTTCTACATGTTTTCCCCCGACCCTTTTCTTTATAACTTATTGAAGTATTCATTCCTTCAATTAATTAATTAAATCTGCTTCTTGGATTTTTCCCCAGCGTTTGCTAGTAAGGTTATATTTTTCTCAATGTCTATTTTTTCATATGTATTTGTTATACGAATTTGCACCCAAAACAGAGTTTTCAAGGCCATGTTTGCTTTCTTCCATCCTCATTTTCATCCTTCGTTCATTTGTTCGTTGGTTCCTCTTGTTTTATTTTCCCACGTTTTTTCCCTCGTTACAAGAAGTTAGTTCTGTGTTTACACTTTGGTTACAACTGTAAATTGATATACGATTAGTATTTGTGTACATCTGTCCTAGGCATGAAAGGCTTCGAACGATTACGTTGAGACATAAACAAAATAGTCTGGACTGGTCTGGTCTGGTCTGGTCTGGTCTGGTCTGGTCTGGTCTGGTCTGGTCTGGTC